TCAGCATTTTGCCATTCTGTTCATGGGGTTATAGCTACCAGTCTCCTGTTCAGCCACCTGTGGTGAGTAAGAGTGGCCATGGGGCTACTCCTTTGCTAGCGCTGCTGCTGCCACCATTGAATATGTAGAGTCCTTAGTGCAGACCTAGGGGATTGTGCTTTTGGTCATCTATAGGATAGGGAATGTTCCAAAATGAGGGGGGAGACACCAACATCTAAACTGAAAGCATGTCCAAGGTGCTGGGGAGCAAAATATAATCTATAAATTCTAGAGAATGGCAAAGCAGCCTAGCTGGTAAGGATGCAGGCAGGAGCAAAAAGCCTTTTGTACCCTGATTCCCAACTATTTTATAACAGGGCAGGCAGTATTTAAAATGATTAAATGGGTGGTAATTTTTTCAGTCACTTTACAACGCAATAATGTTATTTGGGAAATAAAAACCGAAAGAAGGCGGGTGCTGCAAATCAGAAACAAAACTGAAATTACTGAAAAACCTCAGCAGGTCTGACAGCATCTGTAGAGAGAAGTCAGCATTAACGTTTCAGGTCGAGTGAACCTTCCTCAGAACTTGGGGTTCTAAGGAAGGATCTCTGAACCAGAAATGTTAACTCTGATTTCTCTCCACAGATGCTGTCAGACCAGCTGAGCTTTTTCAGCAATTTCTGTTTTTGTTTCAACTTTATTTGGGACTGCTTCAAATGGAGGTATAGCTGTATTGCTATTAGATTGTCTTTCAAATTTGATTGTGCTGTTTAATTGAATTATACTTCTGGCATCAAAATAAGCCACAAATCTTCAGCTAAATCGTGTAAGATGCAGTGGTACAATTTTACTGTTGAAATATTGGTCATAATGTTCCGGACGTTGTTAAGGTAGGAGATCTTGATGTGATGCACTTCCATTTAGGGCCAACAAGGTGCAGGGCTGGATGAACACAGCAGGCCAAGCAGCATCATAGGAGCAGAGAGGCTGACGTTTCGGGCCTAGACCCTTTTTTCTGATGAAGGGTCTAGGCCCGAAA